GAAACACTGTGAGCACGGCAATAGGTAATGCAGAACACAGAAACCCTGTGAACACGGTAGTAGACAAGGCAGAATACAGAAATCCTGAACACAGAAACCCTATGAGCACGACAGTAGGTAAGGCAGAACACAGAATCTCTGTGAGCACGGTAGTAAATAAGACATAACATAGAAGCCCTGTGAGCACGGAAGTAGATAAGGCATAACACAGAAGCCATGTGAGCACGGGAGTAGATAAGGCAGAACACAGACACGAAGGTAGCAAGGTATGTGGCAACACGGTAGCAAGATGGATAGCGGCGGCGGGCTAGGATTATAGGCTAGGTGTATAGTGCAACAAAAATAGGTAGTGTTTAGGGTTAAGGTAGAGATTAATCAAAACACAGCAACATCAACGGTGACAGTAGCGGCAACCGCAACAATAAATTCTTCCATATAAACTTGAGTTAATTAACGTAGACACAACTTCTCTTCACTCCTCCTCTCCCCCTGAAGAGAAGGGGTCGTCGGAGTTAAGAAATAAGCAACATTTTCGAGGGTATACATCAAAGTAATGGAGATATATCAATAAACATATCCATTCCACTCCCCCTCCCCCCTGAAGAGGAGGGGAGAAGAGCACTTAAATTTCAAGAAGAACGCAAGGACAGGTTACAAAAGAACCTGACTCTGATACCAAGTCAAACAAAGTAGGGGAAAAAATTTAGATATTCTCATATTATTATTCTTCTTCAATATGGAGGTATTTATACAAGTGCAAAGATGTGTTAACCCTAAATAAAATAGAAAATATATCTAAATTACAATATAAAATAAATATAAATTATAATAGGAAATAAGTAAGGACTCGCCAACATCAAAGGGGTACTTTGATCATATATATGGTTGTTTGCACTGTTGTAGATGTCATATATGCTTCTGTTGGTTTCATTACCATTAAGATCACAACAAATTAGTGCTAATCTTACATGGAACTCCTGTTGTGATGATTTAGCAAAGTTTCTTACTACATATGTACATGTAATGCTTTCCCTA